GGTGAGCCCACAATCGACAGATGTAGAGAGTATTCTGGTTAGGGAAAAAGGACTGCGTTTAAGCCCTGTTGATTTATATTCTGTTGGTTCATAGTCTATGCTTACTCCTACAGTGTGTGTGTGTGCTCCATAACTATGTAAATAGTTAAATAAATTCTTTAATTTGGGCTAATAATCTGTGTTGTGCTCTGACTACATAGTCTCCCCTGCTCTGCACAATACCAAAGGGAGGGGGTAGCACAGGGAAGCAAGGAAAGGCCAGACCATTAGGTTGCCAACTTTCCAGGGATCCCCCAAAAATGGGAGATTCCATCTCCAAATAGGGAGATTCGGCCAGAGGGGTCTCACTGTCCCTCTAAAAAGGCAGTGACGATTCCGTGAGTGGTGGCAGCAAATTTAAGGAGTGAGATACGCCCATGGGACAAGGGTGGGAGGCAAACAGATTGAGTTGTAAACTGGAGCCCGTTTCGCCATTGTAGGCAACCAAGCTTGGTTCAGATAAAGGAAACCCTTTGCAGGCCTTTGTGAGGAACTCATTGGGGCCAGTCCTGACGAGGGTTGCCAGCTCCAGGTAGGGAGATTCCTGGAGATTTTCTGGTAGAGTCTATGGAAGCCAGGGTTTGGGGAGGGGAGAGGCCTCAGCTGAACAGAATGCCATACAGCCCACCTTCCAAAGCCGTTATTTTCTCCGGGGGAGGGGAGAGATCTGTTGTCTGGAGTTCAGTTGTGATACCTGGTGATCTTCAGGCTCCACCTGGAGGTTGGCTGCCCTAGGCGTAGCAGTCAGCACTTCAGAGCAGGGTCTACTAGAGCCAGGTTCTTGCTGTAGAATCTGAGTGGGTGATTTTGGACTAGTCACAGACTTTCAGCCTAACCTACCTCACAGGGTTGTTGTGCAAGTCAAAAGGGGGAGAGGAAAATGATGTAAGCTGCTTTGGTTCCCATTGCAGAGAAAGGCTACTTTTCCTCCTGAGAAACCATTGTTGCCAATCTCCAGGTGAGGGCTGGAGATCACTCAAAATTACAACTGCTCTCCAGATGGCAGAGATCAGTTCCCCTGGAGAAAATGGTGGACTCTGTGGCATTCAGGGCTTCAGAGCATGGAAAATAGTGGACTCTGTGGCAGTCAGGGCTTCAGAGCACAGAAGAGGCTGCAGGTGTGTGTGTGGGGGAAATGGAAAGCAGAAGTGAGAGGGGGAAATATTGGTAGGTTGATGATTGGCTGGGAAGGAGATAGGATTGCCAACTTCAGGTGGGAAATTTCTGGAGATTTGAGAGATGGAACCTGGAGAGGGTGGGGTTTGAGGAGGGGTGGGACCTCAGAGAGGTACAATACCATAGACTCCACCCTCCCAACCAGCCATTCCCTTCTGGGGAACCACTGTTGCCAATCTCCAGGTGAGGGGTGGAAATCACTCAGAATTACAACTGTTCTCCAGGAAGGAGGGAGGAGGATAGGCAAAGATGAAATCAGAGGGGCAGATAATGGCAGGTTGATGCTTGGCTGGGAAGGAGATAGGGTTGACAACTCCGGGTTGGGAAATTCATGCAGATTTGAGGGGTGGAGCCTGGAGAGGGTGAGGTTTGAGGAGGGGTGGGACCTCAGACAGGTACAATGCCATAGACTCCACCCTCGAAACCAGCCATTTCCTCATGGGGAACCATTGTTGCCAATCTCCATGGGAGGGATGGAGATCACGCAGAATTACAACTGCTCTTCAGATGGCAGAGATGAGTTCCCCTGGAGAAAATGGTGGACTCTGTGTCATTGTACCCTGCTGAGGTCACCACAGTGAATTGGTGCTGAGTGCCCAAGGGCAGGGCACTCTCCCAGAGCCTCTTTCTAGAGCTCGTCGTATTTATTTCCACAACAGGCCTTATTCCTAGTACTATATATTAGTCACAGTAACAGAAAACATTGTTTATATTAAGTAAAGGTATGAATAAAGGTATAAATCTATCTCCCCATCCCATCTGGTTTCCAAATATCCTATGTATCTATATTATAAAACTGTCCTATTTAGTACTCAGTAGCATTTTTGTGTCTCGTGCAGTAGTCCTAAACAGAGTTGAACCCTTCTAAATCCATTTACTTCAATGGATTTTCACTTTACTGTACAGCACTTCACATGTATTGTTACTGTAATCCTTTCAACAGCATTCTAATGTAAGTCAATAGTATCCACAGCTTTCTGGTACATCCATAGTATCCCCATAGTGCTGGTAGGGGACTGGACTGAGATGAAAAAAGATTGAGTTGCAATTTGAACTCCTGGATCATTGGTTCCACTCTGGAAATCCTATGCTTTCATATGCCCACCTGTCCTTTTTACTGTCTTCCCTAAATATCTTGGACTGTGTTTTTTCCTCCTACTCTGCACCAGGTTGCAACTTGCAAGCAGTTTTTAAATTCCTGAGCTTCTTGGGTGGCAGGGCAGAGCAGATACAGCAGAGAGCACATGCACAGATCTTTCTTGGATCAGGAGCAAAGGAAGAATTCCATGCATAGGTAGGTATCTTAAAAAGATAAACTATCACTGGGAACAGGAAGCAATTGTCAGACAAACCAAAACTCGGGACTTGGGTATTGGTGTTTTAAGTTTTGTGTGTGTGTGACTGTCTTCAACAATTCCATTCTACAGGAGCTGTTTTCAATTTATTACTTGATGCTCACTTTTCAGGTTTGGGTAATCTACATAGTTCTGCAATAAAGGAATCCCTGAAAAGTCCCAAGACAAATCTGCCCCATTCAGTAATCTATCCAGAATATGTTACGGTCCCTATGTACAATTTTCATGCGCAAGAAATAACTTATGGGTATAACTTTAGGTTCCTGAAGCCAGGAACTTATTAATTTGCTGTATTTGTGTATATGCATATGCATTAAAGGTAAAGGTTTCCCTTGCTCGAAAGCCACATAACCACAGAAACATCTTCAGACAGTGCTGGCTCTTCAGCTTGGAATAGAGATGAGCACTGCCCCCTAGAGTCAGATTTGACTGGCTTTAGCTTTGCGCTAATACTTACTATTAAATGCAAATAGGGAGGGGGGGTTTCATTTAAATTAAGCTGTTCAAACCAAGATTTGGAACAGTTCAGTTCAAAA